TGAATGCCATTCTTATGTATTTTAAACAAAAGACATCACTATTCATTATATTTCTCATGTTTTTGATCCTTTTTACTACTTATCTTTATTTGAAACAGATTTTTAACAGATAATCTTGATCTTACAACAATATCTTGCTTGCATTTTATTCAAATAATTCTTAAAAACAGCTTAAAAAGCCGTTTGGAATAACATCAAGCTTGCCATCAATCAAACGAAAAAATTCCGCTGGCGGTTGTATAAACATCAGATCAAGTCTGATGTCTTCGAGGATTTCAGAGTGAACCATAAAAAACTCCATTAACTTCTGACAAAGAATGCAAATTAATCACAACATGGGGTGAAATGAAATTAAAGGCTCTTTTCTAATCAATGACAAGGCAGGATGAAATATTTGTTACTCTCTCCGCACTCAGACTGCCTAGGATGTCTGCACGTCCCTTGCAAAGCCCCAAATGTAAGGTGTGAGTACAGATTCACCCACTGCCACTGTTCAGCCCTCCCATCACCCCCCCCCCCCCCCCAGCTGTCTGCTCACAAGTCGTGGAGATTCACAAAACACACGAATCATCTGAATCTCAGGTGCATCCAATTTGCTATTCACACTTGCCCATGCCAGGGAAAAGCCTGGCGCAGACAGATGCACCAGGAACCCTAAATGACAGTTTGGCCTCCGGAAGTACGATCACTACAGCAAAATCTAGTACAGCCTCCAGGTGAAATGTCTGGAGCTCCATATGGAGCAGGGAAAATTAACAACAAGATGAAAATCACTGCAGCAGCGGGGAGTCGGAATTTTTGAAAAAAAAAAAAAAAAATGAAATTTAAAGATGAAGAAAGAGAAGTAATAAATTAATGGGGTGTGAAAACATTCAAAGCTTTACAATACCAGGGGCACTATTTGCTCAGATTTTTTCTTCTTTTTTTAACTTCAGGTCATTTTGATGTAATTTATTAACCAAGATCAGGAAATATCGCCAAAAGAAGAACGTTTTTATATATGCAAAAGTAGTTTCAATACATTTGTATCTGTATTATCTTCACTTTGCTGTGGCATCTTCTTACCAAATTTCCAAACGCCAGAGATGGAGCATCCCCTGAGAAATCTCCTTAATGGATTTACTATCATCCTAACAGGGAACTACTGTAAACTCTGAACGAAGGATGATGATTTTGAGCACACAATCTTTTTCATTTCTCCTAAATTATGGTGTCATTAAACAAACCATTGCCCACCATCATGTTTTTTAAGTCAAATGAATTTGAATCTACATGATTAACTATACACAGCTCCAGTCCTTGTCCAGACCTGCGCATCTTATCATATTACTATTAAAGCTAAATTGTTCAAGAAACTGAGATACTATTTGCAAGATGTTAAAAACCACAATTTTTCATTGTCCTATTGCAGAATATGCTTCACAGGCACCCAGAACTTAATGGCACTGGGGTCAGTTAGAGCTCTCGGGCCCTTGGATCCTCCTGTCACTCTGCTAAACACATGGTAAGAAAAGCAAAAGGGCTCTAGGGAATGGTCTTGTCATCATCTACAATGGCACAACCCTTCGATGTTCAGCATTTCTCATCTGTACAAGAGGCCTCCCTAGGGCAGAGAAGGCAAACCAAGAGAGTGAGAGGCTGGTGGGGCTGAAGGGGAAGAGCAGTGGTATGAACAGCCAATCAAGTTCAGGGAACACAGAGCAGTCATTCGGTTTAGTTGCCAACAAATCCTAGACCCAACTGTGCCCATTCATCACTGAGGCAATGCATGCTGCCTCTGAGCCTTGGTCTGCTCTCCTGGAGTCTGGAATAACGTTCCTGCAGCGCAGAGAGAGGTACAGCCAGGGTCAGAGAACAGAAAGTGCTCTGAAGCTCAACATGGGAAAGGTGCTAGATGAATCCAAGACAGTTCTTCCTAGTATGAGCTACAGTAATAAGACTGCATTTTTAGTGGCTTTTCACTCTTTTTTTTTTTTTCTATGGAGTCCTAAACTGCATGCCAATGAGGCTATACAACTTTAAGGCCTAAAGGAAACTAAAATAGATGGTATTTTCAAATACCAAATAAAAACCCAATGCAAAAAACAATTAAATTCATACAGAATGATTATTTCAACAAAAATCCAGTCCTTTAACCTTTATGTTGGTCCCAGGCCACTGACTCTCCTTGACATCTTTCCGACACCCCTCCCTCAGCAGTGTCCCCACTGGGTATACACTGTGTCACCAGCAGGAAGAGGCACTGCTAACGAAGCTGTCAGCAGCACTGATGCGGGGCTGGGGAAGGAAAGGTCTCCAAGCTAGCCTCTCCTCCCCACTTCCACCTCTGCTCATTTGACTCTGGATGGCAGGTTGCTGAGCACATCCTCTGTAACCTTCTGTTGACGATTAGAAATTGTTTTGTGCTACAGCCCAACATCAAGGCCCAGTAGGGTGGCTCTGTACTTTTCTGAGTGGCTTTGATCTGCAAACATCCTTTTATCAGGTAGGAAAGGGGTAACAAATGGGACAAGGCTCCGGAAACAGGACACTGCTCTGGAAAGTAGTGAGTTTCCTATCACTGGTGTTCAAGCGTAGTGTGGATGTTTGCTTTTCAGATCCTGTAGAGAGGTTTGATTCAGTGATATCTGAGATCCCTTCCAAGCCTGAGAGTCTACTCCTCATTCCAGACTACTCCATTTGGGATTCTATGGCACCAAACCACCTGCAGTTCAATAGTGAGAAATAGCCATTCTGCTTGCCCAATTTATCAGGGAAGGCTATCTCATAAGAGTGGTTGGGGGTTCAAATGAGGTAATATGGGCCAAAGAGAAGGTATTATTTCATAATCCAGTCTCTGTGACACTATAAAAATAAACATTTTTCTTCAAGCACTTTGAGGGCAAAAAAGAGGGGGCCTGAAAGGAATTTATTAAGTTATCTTTCCCAATCTTCAACCTATAGTACAAAGCCTGTAAAATAAATGCCAACTCTATAAAAAGTCATTATTGATTCTAGCAATGCAACACACAAACTTCTGTTGAAAAATCTGGGAAATAGGCCTGATGGCATCAAAGCTGCTTCTATTATTTGAAGTAAAAGTCCCAGTTTGGTATTCTATGTGATTCAAGGAGCACAGTCCCCCCCACCACACACACACACTCGAATAAAGGTTATTACTAACTAAGGCTAACCAAGGAGTTCAGCACATTAGAATTCCCAACTTCCGCTTGACCAATCAAGTAAACATATACTTACTTAGACATTCAGGAAAATGACACTGCAAAGGCATACAGCCGAGTCCCAAATCTGAGCAGAGCCTTCAAATGCTTTATTTGTCACATGCAATGGCAATCCATTTCTTTCTTTCTTTTCTTTTTTTTTTTTTTGGTGGTGCGTGCCCCTAGTGGGAACTGAACCCGGGACTCTCTGGTCCACAGGCCGACACTCAACCGCTGAGCCAAACTGGCCAGGGCGGCAATCCATTTCTTAGACTTATCACTTACCCTGTCTCACCGATTAATTACAGTAGACATTAGAAATCTCAAGAATATAGCTACATTCTCAATCTTTGGCATTTTTATTAGGTTACTTACAAATTTTCTACTATGACTTGTTTGAGAGAGATAGTGTACATGACCTCTTGTCTTGATTTACAAAATTTGAGGGGATTTCACAAATTGTCCAAACAATGAATTATTTAAAAATTACTGACAGAATAAGAAGCTTACTGAGATAAATATTCTAATGAGCTATAAATCCTGAAAATGTGATTTTAATTTGATGGGCTACCAAGAGCTAAGCAGCCAGGCTGTATACACCAAAATCTCACTAAATTGGCTAACACGCATGCCAATCAGTCGCTACATTTTAGACTTCCTCTTTAAGGAAAAGATTCTGTTTAAACAAAGAAGGCTACAAATTTGAAAAGTGAGACTAACACTGTTGAACCTAACATCTTGGACAATTTCTCTTCTACTTATCTGATGGCTTTAACTGTAAAAGAAAAATACAAAACAGACATTTCAGTGAAGAGTCTTTAAATGTCCACAAGGGTACCAGGAGAATTTGCTTAAAACCACTTGAAAAGATGGTAGAGAGAATGAATCCCATCCTATTATTCAATAACCATGTTTGTGATGCATCTGCATAATCTAACCATGCATAAATTAGTATGTGTAATACAACACTTATTTGCATAATAATAGCAAGTTAATAGATGCTTAAAGAGCAGAGACCAACACCACCTTTAAATCAGACATGCCTCCAGGCACTTTGGCCTGTACAGACCAAGATGCCAGAAAAACAGTGAGCATCAACCAGAGGAAAAGAATCAAACCATTCATTTTTCATCCCTCAAGACATTTCACTTATTTCTCCACACACACTGGGGAATCATCTTCAAACCACAAAATAGCTTTATATTTTAAGTGCTAGCACTCATCTATAATAAAAATCTTAAAGAAATGATAAAGGTTATCACCAGCAATGGTAACATAATGGACAGTTTGTTTTCTTAGAAATGTGGCTAGGAAGGAACAGATTTTTAAAAAAGAATATGTTCAAAATGACACCCACATAAAATTGGGGGCCTGTTTCTATTTGCTTAGCAAACATAATGACCTACTTATATATTTTTACCCTTCATCTCAATCTTTTAATTCAAATAATTTTAATGACTATAAAAGCTCAAACACTGTATCAAGAAAAGGCTGTGCCTCTCCCCCAATCTCAATATAAGCACATGGTACTAGGTCAGGATAAGGGAAAACATCACCAATGTCACACAAAGGAAGAGCACAATGATGGCTTTCAACCTTTAACAAAGAGGGAAAAAATCTGGAGTTTAAAAAAAATCAAAAATCAATAGAGACTTCTAAATGACTCCTTTAAGATATCACTTTTCAATTTAACAGGACAGATTTATTTGTATGTGGCTCAAATGTTCACAATTGCTCCCTGCACCTTCATACATAGGAATGAATGTCACAGTGGCAAACGACAGTAATGAACAATCTTACCTGAGGATATGGAAACCTCCCAAGAGCAAGCTGGGAAAGGAAATAATATTTGTCTAGTTATAGATTTGCATGCAGGGCAGATATCCTTAAGACAGACAAGTACTAAATTTCAGATATGCATCTAGCAAATATAAAAAGCTCACAACCTCAAACGCACAAACTAAATTATTACTGTAATTACATTAAGAGTTGTATTTAGAATGGACATTTTCAATGGACAATGTTACATATACACAATAAAATATTCTAATTTTAACAACTAAACATTTCCTTACTGGATGAAAGAAGGAAAAGGGATTATCCAAAGAACATATATGCATAAGCCATAGACACAGGAGCAGTGTGGAGATGCCAGAAGGGGGGAGGGGATGGGCGGAGGTGGGCAAAAGCGGGAGAAATGGGGACGTCTGTAATAGTGTCAACAATAAAAATAAAGTTTAAAAAATCAGCATGTAAATAAAAACAGGAAACAAAGTAATATCTTATTAAGTTAGCAAAGTGTTTTTTTAAATGAGCATATTTAATACCATAAAAAATAAGAACCATTGTCCTTATGTGGTTTCTCTTAGGAATATTCTCAGCTATATGGGCATTTATTCATATTTACATGTGTGTGGCAGTTTCTTCTAGACAGAGATATAAACTATAGAAGGAAACTGTTATCTTTTCTTGTTGTAAAAGGGAAACACCGACTTGTTCCTAGCCCATAGCTCCACAGAGTTTAATTACAAATATACAGATAGAAAGGGTTGTAGGAAATGGGAAAGTAAATACTTGAAATAAAAAAATTTGCCATTATTTCCGTCTATTTGTTAGTTTTTTCCATCCATTTTTCTATCCATAGTTAGAACAAAAGAGCTACTACTAGTGGGCAAATGGCCATCCTGAGACTGAAGTTGGAACTATAGGTCTAAATCTGAAATTGTGAAAGTGAATCCTTAGAGCTTCCACAATTTTGCTTGATTTGTAATCTGCTGTGTGCTTCTAGACCAGTCACTTAATTTTGGTCTTTGGATCTTCACCTTTAAAAACAAAATGATTTGACCAGGAATAGGATTGATATAAAGTAACAAGATCAAATTTACCAAACAAACCATAACTCATTTGAGAGAAATAATGGTAAATTTTGCAACTGCATAATGTGGCCCATTGTTAGGCCTACAGTCCTTTATATGTATTGTAACTACTAAGTAGAATTGTTTATCAGGGAACCTGGAAGCTGGAATGGATCCATGAGATCCATTTTTGTTTTGTTTTGTTAATCCTCACCCAAGGATATTTTTCCATTGGTTTTTAGATACAGTGGAAGGGAGGGAAAAGGGGTGGGGAGAGAGGGAGAGAAGGTGAGAGAGAGAGAGAGAGAGAGAGAGAGAGAGAGATGGATGTAGGAGAGACACATCGATTGGTTGTAGGGGATCAAACTCGCAACTGAGTAACTCAGGTATGTACTCTTTTTTTTTTTAATCCTCACCCGAGGACATTTTTCCATTTTTTGATCAGATGGAGCAGGAGGGAGAGAGAGAGGAAGAGAAAGAGAAACATCGATGTGAAGGGACACATCGAGTGGCTGCCACCCGCACGACCAACCAGGGCCGGGGACAAACTGCAACCGAGGTACATGCCCTCAGCGGGAAACGAACCTGGGTCTCTCTAGACCGCAGGCCGATGCTCTAACCGCTGAGCCAAACCGGCCAGGGCGAGGTATGTACTCTTGACTGGGAATCAAACCCTTGACCCTTTGGTCTGTAGGCCAACGCTCTAACTGCTGAGCCTAACTGGCCAGGGCCGAGATATCCACTTTACAGATCAGAGCCCCAGAGCCCCACTGAAGAAGTTTGCATACAGTTCATCAGTAGAAGCCAAGGAACTGACTCCCAAACTTGCAACTTAGTCGAGTTTTCTTTCCAGTGTATTACACTGATTTTTTAGATCTTGAGGAATTGTGCATTTATTTCAAAGACACTGACACTGCTAAACATTTCTTAACTCTTCCTTTTGAAATTATGTTTAGAATTATTTCAAATAACAGGAAAACACTTACCTTGTTTTAATAGAATTGCATCTTATCTTGGATTTAAAAGTATACTCCTCATCTTTTTTACTGTGCAATTTATGTTTACTAAAGTCTGAATAGCCTATGGGTATTACCAAAACCCAACTCCACTTAAAATTTTTTAAAATTAAATTTATTGGGGTAATATTGGTTAATAAAATTATATAGGTTTCAGGAATAAATTCTACAATACATCACCTGTGTATTGTATTGTGTGTTCACCACCCCAAGTCAAGTCTCCTTCCATCACCATTTATCCCTCCTTTACCCCACCCCCTTTCCCTCTGGTGATCACCATACTGTTGTCTGTGTTTTGAGTTTTTTCTTTGCTTAATCCCTTCACCTTTTTCACCCAACCCCCCATCTTACCCCCTCTAACAGCTGTCAGTCTGTTTTCTGTATCTGAGTCTGTTTCTATTTTGTTGTTAGTTTATTTTGTTCATTAGATGCCACATAAAAGTGAAATCATATGGTACTTGTCTTTCTCTGACTAGAGTATTTCACTTCGCATAATACTCTCCAGGTCCATCTACGCTATTGCTAAAAGTAAGATTTCCTTAATTTTTACAGAAAAGTAGTATTCCATTGTGTATATGTACCACAGCTTTTTTTTTTTTTTAATCCACTCATCTACTGATGGGCACTTGGGCTGCTTCCAAACCTTGGCTATTGTAAATAACGCTGCAATAAACACAGGGGTGCACACAACTTCACTTCCAAGAATAAATATTTTGCTTCTTACTAAGAATAGACATGAAGGTGCTGAGATTAATTTTCAAAGTTGTAAAACCAGTTTGAGCAATAGCAATCTAATAGGAATAAACCATATAACCATGTAAGGGGACTACTTTGAAAGGGTCAATACTCATTTGGGGGTGTGTGTGTGTGTGTGTATGGAATACCTAATGAGTTTCATTACCTTGTACTCATTCTTGTGTATTCAGAGTTCACTGACTTCAAGATAAAAAAAGTTATATTATTATTTCATTTAGTGGATGTCATTAATCGCTTCAAGTATAAATAATAAAACCATCACGAGATGGGGTGAAGAAAAGAGAACGTGAATGTGAACTAAACTCCTTTTCAGTTTTGTGTGACTATGTTTGTTGCCTATGTACTGTTATTACTTAGGAAGGGGAGGGACTCAGTTCTCCATGGTTCCCACTCTATCCCCACCTAATACAGGCCACTGATTTGCTTCATTTTGTAAATACAGTGTTTCTGGCTAACGAGAGTGTGCACATCGATTCAGGAGGAGTCACTGTGGTCTACTGAGGTGGTAATGGGTGGACTAGGCATCTGAACCATTCTTTTCTGAACTGACAAGGCAGTGGCAGCTCATTAACAGCTGTCACCTATCATTACACTGATCTGTCGGTTACAAGTCTTGCATATTCCTCCATTTGGAGTTAGAAAACTACCAAGAGAAGGGTCTCTTGTTTTATTTTATTTTTATGTAGTTATTGATTTTTTAGAGAGAGAGGAAGGGGGAGAAAGAGAAACATCAATGTGAGAGAGATACATGGATCGGCTGCCTCCTGCACGCCCCCAACTGGGGATCGAGCCCGCAACTGAGGCATATGCCCCGACCAGGAATGGAACCGGGACCTCTCAGTCCATGGGATGATGCTCAATCCACTGAGCCACACCGGCTGGGTGGGTCTCTCATTTTAAAAGCTGACAATTTCCTAACTACTAGAAAACATGTAGAGCATTCTGTCTCAAGCCTTCCTATGGATGCCGTGCCATTACCTGGGTACATGTTGAACATTACCCCAGGGTCTATGGAAGAATTCTGCCCATATGGCTTACCAGCAGAGGAAACATGCCCACCATCCATACAGTTAAGATCTAAACTAGCTGGCAGGTGCCAGACTGGCCACTGGTTCTTGCAGTTTAAAGAACTAAGCAATGATAAATAGAAGGCTTAGAAAAAAGTGGGATATGATGAAAAATGTGACTTTTCCCCATTTTAACACAAAGCTTCAAATTCTGAAGTCCTCACTGTTCTATGGAGAGGCCAGGCCATGACCGACTTCTGAATGTGCCCTCATCTACTTGGGCCCCTCTATCATGACTGGTACAAGGTAATAAGGATGGCTGATGCCATTCATTTAGTCTGTAAGATACCACCATGGAGAACATGGAAGAAATTCAGTGCAGGCTGGTCAGCTGGGGGCCTCTCGGTCCCAGTCTGCTTGGGAACAGGTGGCCGTGCTTGAACTAGTGAACTCATCATTCTTGGGACTGGCTTTGCTTTGTGTGCACTTTCCTGACACCCCGTGGAATCTCAGTGCTACTCTTCAATAACAGCCCTCAGAGAATGTCCGAGACATCTTGCAGGTCTAACCTCTTTGAGTCAGAGGACAGAGAATGGTTCTTGTCCTTGACCAGAGCAGCAAAACAAGAATTTCCTCTCTTATAGAGTGTCACCAATGGACTCTTCCAGCACAGGTCAAGGATTCCAATTCTGTACCAGTGACAACTGGCAGCAGCACCAACAGCAGTCATTTTAAGGCCCCAGGAGAGGGAGCTGCCTTCCAAGCACATCTCTGTCCTTCCAGGTTTAATGCAGCTGTAGTGTTTAGGTTCCACATGATTTGTCTTGTGGCGAAATAGGAGGAAATATATAGCCAGGCCCTACAACTCTTTTATCAAGTTCAGTTAGGAGAAGGCAAAAAAGGAAAAGGGTCTTTAGTAGATATGACAGCATGAAGAACAGGTTCTTCATGAGGCTGTCAAAAGTCAAAATAAACACAGAACCCTTATGGGGAAGAGAGAGCTCATACGCTATGACTGAATGTTTTAGAGACAGGCGAAAAGGGGCCATTCTGTATCTTTTACCCCTACTGGTCTATTAATCTACTTGCATGTCCCCAGTTTTTATTGTCAAGGTATTATAAATTAGGAAACTTACAAAAGAGAGTATGTAATCTTCTCTGAAATGGCCTGCAGATATGTCACTGTACTAAATGTG